GTCAGACTGTACACGGTTTATCCGGCATATGGGTACGCCCGTTGGTTAGACCATCACCCGCGGAATACTGCATACTTAACAAGTTGCAGTCGTTGGGTTTAACAAATTTCCACCTTCTCAGGAAAGGCCCTCACTGAAGGCATACTTGCACTAGTACTGTCCAGACTGTATCTGACCGCTACCACGGCCATATCTTTCATTCCTTTTTTTGTTTTTTTTTTGTTTTTGTTTTTGACACCTATTTACATTCTTGGGAATGCCCTCACTCAGGGCATACTCACACTACTACTTTCCAGAATGTAGCGGATGGATATTACGTCCAAATCTGTCTTTGTTAATGTTTGTTTTCCCTTTTTCTTTTTTTGTTTTGTTTCTTTCTAAGATTCGTGCCCTGCCAGCAAGCCAGGACGTCTTCCCAGACTGCCCAGTTTTTTCTCATTTGTTTTCTTTTTTCTTTCCCGATCTCACTTTCAATCCATTATTTTTGCGCCCACCAGCCTTTTCCCTCCGAACCTTTGCCGTGCCGGACTACTGTTCATCTTGCCACCGTCACAGTGTACTGCGTTTTGGTGAATCGTAGGGGTCTGTGAACGGGTGGTTACGATAGCCTCTTTGAATTGACTGAGGCCAGTAGGTAAACTCCTTTTTTTTTTTTTTTTTTTTTTTTTTTTTTTTGGAAGACATGCTCCAATCTATTCTTGGGGAGCAGCACGTGCTGGGAATTGGGCTCAGCGTCCCATATGAAGACATGTAAACTCACAGTTATTTATCAACTTATGTTCACTCATCTCACAAAGATTCTGATTCCATCGGGATTTCAAACATGGGTCTGCGTTTCGGCAGTTCGTGGGTGTACCAACTGAGGTGGGCCAGTTGGTTGATCCTGTCTTTTCCTCTCCTCTCCTCTCCTATCCTAATGAAGTCCTATTGTTTTCCTTTGTTTTTTTTTTTTGTTTTTTTTCCATCTTTCTTCACTCGTGAAGCCGTCTTCCGTCGCCGGGCACAATTTCCTGCCAAGCCTCCTCGATCTTTGTTCACAGTTCCACATGCTGAAATGCCACGGAACGAACTCGGGTATCAAACCAAACCTCTGTCATTTTGTAACTCCCCCCTCCCCCCCCCTCCCCCTCCCCCTCCACCTCCCCCTGCCCCGTCCTGGCACCTTCTTTTCCTTTTCCACTACCTTCCACTAGCAGGCACAATTTCCCGTCCAGTCTCCGCTAACCGTGCGAGAAGAAAACAGCTGTTTATTATTTGTCTGCAGCGTCTTTTCTTCTTCCTTTTCTTCTTTTCCTTCTTCTTCTTCTTCTTCTTTTTCTTCTTTACACTCCCACATACACAAGCTTACCTATTCTGTGGCCGGACGGGGGGGGGGGGGGGGGGGGGGGCGCAAGCCGCCAGCCAGCTGTCCAGTTGCTTATCACTGGCAGGCATCAAGACACAGTTCTTGGCAAGAAACGGACAAGAAAAAAGACACACAGACGATATGTAAAGAGGACAACACAACAAGGTGGAACATAAAAGATTCAAAAGAAGCATCTTTTCATCGGTCACAATCTGCAAAAATCGCCGAAAGACTTTCCATTGTGGACTTTCAACTTGAAAAAAACAAAGCTGCTGCAGCGTTCGATTAGAATCCGCTAAACTCTGCGGACTGTACAAAACAATAAATCGTCGGCACTATCCTTCAGCACTACGACTGAATTTAAGGCTGACTGACTGATACCTACCTTTTTGCATGGCCGTGCGCGGTGAGCAGAACAGCAGAACAGCAGAGCAGCCCATGTCTTGATCCTTATAGCACTACTCTCGGTTTAGGGTTTACTATACGAGTCGTCCATCCATCTGCCACCTCACTTATTTTTCATTTCTTTTCTCCCCTCCATCGTCTGTCGATGACACCACGATAACAAAAAAAATGGTGGCAACGCGGCTGTGACCGACATAACATGCATCCGCCTTCGCCTCTGCTTGCGCAGGCACCCTGTACGGACCTCGACCTTCATCACCCTTTGTCTTCTAGCAGCAGCATGGCGCAAGTACGCTCTCCCCAGGCATACCTCGCAAAACTTCGCTTCCATTGCACCTGTGGATTAGATACACGTATGCACATGATGTCTCGCTCGGCCCAACATTCAAAATTCCCAATCATAGCCCAACACGCGCAGTAAAAAATTGGCAGCATCTGATGATCTCCAAATTCTGCCGGAGAATTCTAACCATATCCGACAACATTTCAAAATATCTGATCAAAAAATTGACAGCACCTGGCTATATAGGATATTCCGATATACCCAATTGCAGTGAAAAGTTGCAAAAAAACAGTCAAAACTAAGAAAAAAGTTCAAAAAAGTTCAAAAAACTGTGAAACACTATCTACAGGACTGAAATGCCCCCAGCCACTGGGTGGGAGCAGCTGTAACTTCGCCGTGGAACACGCAGCTTACGCGCTTGGGATCCTCACGCCCCGCGCGACCCCCCCCCCCTCGCCCCTGGCCCTCCTCACACACACATGCACACATGCACACATGCACGCATGCATGCACACACATGCATGGGCGTGATTGCAATCATCCACACACACGCTTGTATGCATGCCTAAACACACACACACACACACACACACACACACACACACACACACACACACACACACACACACAGACACACAGGGGCGCGCAAATACACACACACACTTCTCAGGGGATGGAGACACCAACATCTTCCTGCTGCACACAACACTACAGAAACCCACAGTGGGCATGCCATGCTTCTGGATCTCTAACAGCCAGTTAGGTTATATGGCGTTGGAGATGACACAAGCGAACGCCATATAACCTAACTGGCTGCAAGTAGAATAAGCATTGTCCAGAAAATCAGTCGTGCCGCCCCTCTTTCCAGAAGGTTACGTTTTGACTCTCGAGTCAAAACGCTCGATCAACAATTTCAGGTGTCGACGCCTCGTCAAATCAAGCAGAAAAGGAGCATCATCCTTAAAACCGCCAGTACCTTTCCAATCTACCGGCCCCGGGGCCCTGCGCGCCGAGGAATCCGGATGCATCTGGCCGCCTCCGCGTTAACCAGCGCACAATTTCTTTTGTTTGGATGGGAAAGGTACTGGCAGTTTAACATTCCAAAAAACAGGAAAGTGTGCTGTCTTGGCCAGCTCAGCAAGGCGCGTAAGAACATAAAAAGTGCCCGGCAGTGCCAAGACCGCAGGTACACCGGCGTCATTACCGTTTCTAGCAGACAGACATCAACAGTCTTCCACTGCGCGTGCTCAAGATGGGAACTTGTTCTTGGGGCACGCTGTTATGTCTCATACAGGTTCAAAGCCCGTTTCAAACCCGTTCAGATCCCATGGCTACCTGACCCTGTGTGCCTTTCCAACCTCTAAGGCGGCTTCGGTTCAGCATTATTATTTATTATTTTCTGTTCATCTGGTTGCGCCTGGATTCGAACTTGGGGTCGGTAATTCAACAGTTCATTAGTGTAGCAACTGAGCTAATGTAGGCGCGTTGGTGCGTAATGTAGGCGCATTGCTGCGTAATGTAGGCACGTTGGTGCGTAATGTACTTCCTCTTCTCATAAAAAAAGGCTATTCGCGTAGTAGCATACGGTCCCTCACAGCGAAGGGAAGGAAGGGAAGGGAAGGGAAGGGAAGGGAAGGGAAGGGAAGGAATAGGCCATAATCGTCGAGCAATTACGTGCTCTGGAAGTTCGAACTGATTTCGCATGAGCAGACAGTTCGTGTGCATTACCTTTCAACTCGTTGTACTTCCGCAGCTCCGCTGTCCAAAAAAATGTTGGCCCTCATCTTCCGACAACTGCCAAGCCGTTAGCTCTAAGAAGAAAATGGTGGGTCGGTAGGTTGCGCCTGTGCCAATCTTGGAGGGCCGTAACTCCTCGGAATCGTGATGCATACATACAGCGCGTACTGGCTAGCGCTGCACTTCCCATGCTGCTGCTAGATCGCAGGATGACGATGGTAGACTTCTAGCACCGGCAACATCCTCTCATTGCCGAGTGACTCGGGTGAAGGAGCATATGAAGCATACATATACCCTTACGTTCGTTTGTAAAGTGACTCGATTCACTCGACTGAGCAGACTGCGCTCAGCGTATGCTTTCTGTTTGTCTTGGCGGGTGATTCGAGCAAAGAATCGTGCGTACTCCGTTGATCTTTGGTACAGTGTAGACGTCTCAAGGAATGTCGGCATCGGTACACACAAGATGAAGAGCAATGTCCGCCTGCCGCCAAACTGTGACGATGGATGGGATGCCGGAACACATGATGGCACCGTTACATGTCAGATCTAGCGACCTCCGATAATAGGGCTCCCACTGCCGCCACCGCCGCCACCACCGCCACTGATTTTTGCAACATAAATGGGTGGCGGAGCGCTGGCCATATGCTGATGTGGGGGAAGCGCCGAGGGATGAGACAATGGGTACGCGGCTGGCTGATGATAAGGAAAAGTCGTGGCTGGTGCAGCGTACGGTGGCGGAGCGGGTAATGGGAATCCATCTGGAACATGACCTTGATGGACAGGCTGGTGTTGGTATCCCCCGGTGCCAAAATTGGCCCTCAATCTACCCATCCAGCCCGATGGCTGACCTCCGGTTCCTCCGTGATATTGTGCCTGGTGGACCGGGGGCGTCTGGTACGCTTGCGGTTGCTGAGGATGCGGAGGATAAGCTTGTGCATACCCAGGCCCCACTCCCGGCACCGGCATGCCGACCGGAGGGGCCGGGGGAGCAAACTGTGGAGATTGGCTCTGGAGCGGGTAAAACAGCCTCCCTATGACTCCCTGTAATCTGTCTACGGTTCCAGGGCCCTGATAAGGGGGAGACCCCCCAGGATTCCCAGGGGGCCCCGTATTCCCCGTGAGGTTCCCATTACCAGCGCCGTTGCCTCTTCTGATGCACTCTATTCCCAAGCTGATGAAGATTACGAGGATCCCGCCGAAGAAGTAGAGAAAGAATAAACCAGATACAATCCTGGCCATCGATGGAATAATGTCCTTGCTTCCCTGCACAGACGGACAAACCCATGACAAAATGGTTTTTAAATTTTAAGAAAGCTTCCACCGCCTTCCAGAGGGAGTGTTTTTTTTTTTTTTTTTTTTTTTCCCGGTTCCTTTTTCCATTACTTTTGCTTGGTAACTGGGGCCGGCCACCCCACATAAAGGTCGGATCTGGGAGCATTACCCAGTGTTCTGCCTTTTTTTTTTTTTTTTTTTTTTTTTAACTCGAATAGCCCTTATGTAAACCCTCTATCCCGGCGGTGGTAAGAGAACCGTCAGGATTGAGGATTTAGCTGTCGGGCTGCTCCATCTATTGGTGGGGAGCTGCACCTGCTTTGACAGGAGACCCGAAGGGACCCGAGCACTCTGCCTACTCCGTATTATACTGCTAAGCCTACTTTTTTCCTGAGGTTAGACCGCCTTGAAGAGGCAAATTATACCCCAACAGCAAGGACGATTTGACATGCAGAAGAATATCCCCGCCGCGCCACACACAATTGGTTAATTTATAAACAATTAAAAAAAGACCAATTTAATAATTTATTGAATTTACTAAACTGCCAAAGAAATTGAAAAAAAAAAAGAAAAAAAATGGGTTATGCCAGCATTGGCCCAGCAATCAGCACATTTTTTTCATGCAGAAGGGGCGAATCATTTCCTGAGAAGAAATAACTAAGTACAAAATTCATCAAACTCGCTCGCATATGAAACCTGCACATGTGTGTACCTCTCCCTACCGTCTTCGCCCCCTCTCCCTCCCTCCCCCCACCACACAACATAATGCAGTGAATGCACCCTAATTGTGGAACGTGTACGAGTGTTAAGAATTTTGCGCTTTTTTTAGCTTTTGTTTTCTACACGAGAAAAAAAAAAAAAAAAAGCTGCAATGCCTCTGATGGCTTTGTTTTCGCATGATCTGTACCGGAACGAGAGACTTGACCAGATCCTTCCTGACAAGAGAATGCTCGCCATATGGCACGCGCGCAACTTTGGGAACGGGCAAGACTTTCAGAAAGGGCTAATCGAATGTCGGGGCAGGCATTTCAACGACAATTGCTGACCTTTCATTTCCTACACGACCCTGCAAACCAACTGACACTCAGCCTCAGCCTCCGCTTCAATGCATGTTCAGACATTCATTGCATCTGACCAACCTTTTGCGCTTTTTTTTGCGTCTTTTTTGTCATTTCACTGAGCCTGCGCCTGCGCCTGAGCCTGAGCCTGAGCTTGGGCCTGAGGCAGAGCCAGCTCAATTTCAATTGGGCATACAAGGGTGTAGTTCTGTATACGGTACTATACAGTCCTCTATAGTAGTAGAACCCTTGTGTGGCCACTGTACAGTACTATACACAACTATGACAGCACACAGTGTATGTAGTACGGGATAGTACTGTGTGCCATGTTGCCTACCGTCTTCACCTGAATAGAACGCCCGATCAATACCGCTGTATGAAGACTGCAAGTTGAACCCAATACAGCTATAATGACCGGGCATTCTATTCGGGTGAAAAAGGGAGGCTAAATTTAGCGGCACAGGGATGCAAACCGATACACCGCACATGTGCACACTGCCAGGTGGAAAGGACCCATAATGATAATGAAAGAAGGGGCGCAAATGTCGCAAGCACGCCGGCATTGCCAATACTATATGGTGGTCTAAGCCCACGTAGACATATTTTATGCCAGTCTTTCGTTTCCAGGCTGAGCGGACAGACGTAGTATGTCGTCGGCATTGACATCGACAGTATTTGTGTCTAGTACTGCTAACTTACTACGCCATAGTATGCCGCTCTTCTGTTGTCAGGCTGGATGGATGGATGGTTGGATGTATGGATAGAGGCTTTCTCATGTTTGACTATTGAGAGGGTTAAAAGTTAAAAGTTAAAACGTAATAGTACTTGGTAATAAGTTAATACACTCTGATGGGGGTTCGTTCATTCAACTAAAAGTTCTAAAACTCACTTTTTAAAAGTTTTTTTGCCGCTTCAATACGTGGTACCGACAGCTACATCATTCTTTAGATCATGCTTTGGTGTAAGATAAGAGAAGTAACTGAACCTGGTCAAGAAAAACCAATTAAAACTGAAAAAAAAACTGTCAAAGAACGAAAAATGAGGTATATCAGGCCTAAGGAACATCCGTTATTTTTTTTGAAACGATAGAGAGATGATTCGCAGGATCCCTGCGCAAGGATGACACGTATAAATCGAGAAATGGTCCAAATTACACAAAAAAAGTTTAAAAAACAAACAGGTACACAACGGCCATGACGCTTTTGCACACGCTTTTCGCGACTGAGCTAAGAAAATGTCATTTCCACTACCCATAGTACCCAACATTGCCAACAATGCATTCATTAATAAGCTTTCCAGTTCAAGCCTTTCACGGTCCGAAAGCCTCATGGAGAAAAGACTGGTGTTCTTTCATGGTTCTGAAAGGTGTTGGCTGCAAAAGTGCAAGATAAAATAAGGTATAGACCGTATAGGTTTGCTATAAAGAGCTTCACCTAACAGGTCAATCAATGCTATAAAGAATTCAAATTTCAAAGTCGCGTCAAAGTCGCGTCAAAGTCACTTCGAAGAGAAGCTGAAACAAGCTGTGCACGCAATATCAACATCGTCGTTAGTTAGAGGATTCCTATCTTTTTCTTTTTCCTTGCTTCTCGTTTGCCTTTTCGTGTAACTGTGTCGTTTTTTTTTTGCTGCCGAAAACGTGCTGCCGGGCCTGACCACTGGAGGTGATATGAGCATCCTCCAGGAGACGGAGACGGAGCCTTCGTCTGGGACAGGTCCAATCCATTGGTGGAAAGGAGCAACATCTCCTGGGAAACGGGCCCAGTGTCCCTTGCCAAATGTAGCTGTATAATGTTTATATATATACATATATATCAATATATATATATATATTGTCACGGAACTGTTGACTAAGAGCGTAAGCACGTGAAGTAGCAGAAGAGATAAGATGAGCGAAGAAAAGAAAAATGAAAGGACAGACAGGCAAAGAGACAGACAAACCAGAATGAAACAAAACAGTGTCCTCTTATTCTTTGTTTCACAGTATTATTATTTCTTTCAGTGTTTTACAAAAAAAATACACTGAATCAAAGGATAAAAAGTTCTCAAGCCTGTCCTTCGGGACATCCATTAAAATTGGAACGATACAGAGAAGATTAGCATAGCCCCTGCGCTTTCAAGGATGACACGCATAAATCGAGAAATGGTCCAAAATAAAAAAAAAATAAAAAAAAAAAATAAAAAAAAAAGTTCTCAAGCCCGGCCGGTCCTGCCCGG